TTTCTACAGGTAAACGTCATCGAAAGGCCCCAAAATCAAGCTGCGCATTGTTGTGAAAATGGCGGTTGACGTGGCATCTCAGGAAACCACACATTCATGATGTACTGATACTGACAACTGGAAACTGTTATTTGAATTGCTCAGTAGGACGGATTAGCTTAACCCTCTGTGGATTATTACAAATAAGAAAGGCGACGCATGCATAGCTGCGTTCTTAAAACTTAAGGTTCAAGGTCTGTTGTATTTCAGTCCCGGGGGGGGGGNACATCTGGAAAAATTGGCGGGGGTGTGCGGCCCACTTCCCAAAACCCTTACCCCATTTATGACCAAAATCTGCGATTTTCTCTACCCTATTTATGACCAGACCAAAAATTTGATACCCTTTTTATGACCGTTACGGCTGACACAGTTGCCCTAAACATAATATTTGAAGGGCTTTTGTTTATGGTCTTATCAATAATGAAGAAAAAGTAGCTTCCTCTAAAAAACATAACCAATTCGACTACAGTACAAACACCATACCTTTTTAAGACTAAAATGGCCAGAATCGACACTCTATTTATGACCAAAACGGCTGAAAAACCCTACCATTTGGGGGTCGCACATACCTCTATAGCCCATATAGCCCATATAAGGGAGTATACCCCCCCCCCCAACCGGGATTTCAGTCCTGTTAACTATTAGATGACATGGATCGACAAACGTTCAGGGGCACTCCATGACGGTTTTCTCTTTTTAAGGCTAGTTGAGGGAGTGCTTTTAAAAGCTCTCTAGGTTCATTTTAGGCTGGTCATTCTAGAGGAACTTGAGTCTTCTCGAATTTATTTGCTTTTTGGTCCATTTCCCGAAAACCTCAGCAGCAGGTAACTTTCCGAAAATCATAGCTGGCCTTTCTTTGGTACCCAAAATGACATATTTTTATCAACCCAGTAGCAACAGGCAGTATATTTCTCTTAGCTTATCAAGAAAGTTCGAGGTGGAATTCCTCTTAGAAAACTGGAGGGGATAAAAACCTTCCGAACAGGCGATTTACTAACCGGGTTGTTCAAAGCCCGATTTAATCAACCCAGGATTAGCGAGAATTTTGATTTCAGTTTTGTATTTTTTCGGTGTGGCGTTTTGGTTATATTGTTTGTCCTTCAATTTTGAGCTTGCGTAATCTCAAACTACACAAAACAAAGGAAGTGAAAATCATTTTTATGCAAGCGGAAAATAGATACTTCGGTTAACTTTTAATCCTGGGTTAGCGTTACCGGCTTTGCAACAACCCGGCCCTGAACGTTGAGCACAATTATCCTGAACTACGATATGTCACTCTTCTTTATTTCCTTTGCTCAAGTGGGCCGCCAAGGCGGATTGTAAAGGTCGG